CACGGCAAGGAAGGTGCAATTCGTACAGCAAGTTCGGTTTCACACATTTGTCTCGTAAACGACGAATCCTTTCCAATCCGAGCTTTAAAAGTAACTAGATCATGTTCCATTTTCTGGTTTTGAGCGCTCAGGAAACGCACCTTAAATATTTCTTCGATAATGTTTTTGACTTTAAAGGAGATCTTGCCGCATATGTTACGGTACTGTACATGTCAGACAACAAACTTTTTCAATATAATTGGCAAATCGCTCGTTTAGCTCAGATATCTCTTTCTTCTCGCGTTCTCTTTCATCACGAATGACGCTTGCCGAGAATGCTGAGCCACTGCTATGTCTATGTTTCAATGGACTTTTTAATTCCATTTCTTTTGCTTTGGTCAAGGCTATAAAATTAGATTACTATTAAAATGGAAACTGAGCACAATCAACATTAGAAGAGATCCTTAAAAGTTCCACACTTCAAAGCCATACCACTATAAATCAATTTTTCGCTTACAGTCTTCTTCTTTTGTTCTTCGATTTTTTCTGCAATGTGCTGCTTCCTGCAAAACACAAATTGTAGTTGAAGGAAATCGTTAAAGGTCGATATTGTAAGTTTCATTGCAATTATGCTGTGCCATAAATTTATAAATGAAGTGATAATAACAAAAAAAATAAACAAATCAGTTTTATGTTTGTCACGTTTATTGGCAAGAACTTCTCAAAATATAATTAATTTTTAAAAAAAATTTTTTTGTGACATGTCAAAGTAACATACTCTTCGTGGGAAACACGAAATTCAGCCGTTGTAACTTGATTCTTTTCTTTCTTCTCTTGTTGCATCTTTCAAGGTATACGCTAAATCTCATAACGTAAAAGTAACGACGAAGATGTAGAGAAATTTTTGTTGTCGTTTTATCAAAAGTATGTTTTTAGTCTTTTTTTTTTTTTTTTATTTATGTGAGGACTGGTTATCGATATCAGTAACGGTACAGCAGCAAATTGTAGCGTTACGTGATAATGTTGAAGTACTGTTATCAGAAAACACAAATATTTTTGCAGAGAATTGTTATGACTTTAGAAAAGCATAAATAAAAATAATTGCACTTAAGATTCTACAGTTTACACTTATACATCTGATAAAGTTATTAATTAACGTTCAAAACACTGTTTTTCTGTATACCTATTTTCGCTGAGTTAGGTGCAAGGATCTTTAAAGTAGCCTACTTGAATTATTGAAGCCTGGAATTATTGCTAGAATACTGAACTGCACAGTAGTTTCCAGTTCTTTACAAGGCTATACTTTAGAATTATAATTTACAGAAATTTCAAAACTTTAAAATGCAGATATAAAGAACTGTTTTTCTGTTAACCCGACAAACAGCCTAACCTTAAATAAGATTTTTAAAATCCAAATATTGTATTGACAAATTATAAGAGAGGTTATTACTTCTTACGTTCTCTTAAAATTGCATTTAAAAAACATAGCAATTATATAATAGTTGCAGTAAATATTTTTTTTCTAAATCTTTGTTAGAACTGTAGTGTTAACTGGTCAAAAAGTTGTCATGTGAAGACTAACACAATAATAACCAGCAGTAAAATGTAGTGATAATATCCAAGCACATATTCATAAAAAGCTAGAGTTGGAACGATTGGTGTAACCGTATCTTAGTGCTGCAAAGACTGTCGGTCTAACGCAGGATAATTAATAGTAGTTAAAATGGTAGTAGCATGGTAACTTGCAGCGCATGAAGGTGGTAATTAAAATAGAGTTGGCACTGAGGAATAATGAAGAATCAAACGGACTATATACTACTGATGCTGTCGGTAACCGTACTTTGTTATCGTTAACTTTAATAGTTCTTCATAACCTTACCTTCTTTAAGACAGAAAAAAAAAGGTACTTTTAAAGGGGTTTACTTTTGACGTTACCGGTTGCACAGGTAGTGGGGTGTAGGTGTTTAAGAACTGCGCAGAGTTGCATGGAAAGCTAATAAAATAACCTTAATGATAAAATTTGCTCAGGTTTTCTAAATGGGTACAGCACTTCAAAAACTTTTTTATCAATGTAGACCACCCAAAATTACAATTTTGTGCTGAGAAAAAGCAAATTTGAGGCTGAAGAAAACGTCTAATAATTAGACGCTGGAACAAACAGTGGAAAGGGGAAAGCGAAAAAAGAAGTGAATTGAAAAAAATGCTGCTTTACAAGAGTGAAAAAGTTTTTTCACTTTTTTTTGTTTGAAATATTTACAGTATAAAAAACTTAGTCTTTCATACTTTTTCGCTTTTCTTCTTATTTGGAAAATGTGCAAATGAAACAAACTTTTTACAGTTTCTTTTTTTGGCTGTTTTTTAGCAAGTTTTTTTCTTTTCCTAAAAAAAACACAGTCATTTGGTCCTACAGAGTGAGAAGTCAACGACTGCCTCCCAAACCTTCTTTTTCACATAAATTTACTCAAAAAAATCTAGGTTCTTCTGTTTCGTACTCTTGGCCTTGAGCACCTTTTTTTAGACACAGTCACTTAGTACAACTAATAGTACATATTTACATTCAGAAATTAATAAAATGTACTGATTAATTGACTCTAGAAGAATCTATTTCTCTATAAGACTGTCTAAAGTCTTATGAATTTCGTTGATATTCAGCTTATGCGGTTTTGACTGCCACAGTTAAGTTATCGACTTCTCCTGCAGACTGATTATTACTTGGAGACCTCAATTTTCGACGTTTGTTACAGCTTTATTTCTAACTTATAAACCTATACAGTGTTTTCCCTGTTTTAACGCTTTTTATAATAGGATTTTATTCAACATAAGTGTTTTTATGCAGATTCAACACTCGCTTCTGCACTTTCAAGAGAATGCGTTATCAAGCCCAGAAACAAAAAAAAATTACAATTTAATATCAAAAGAAAGTTCTATTTAACCACCTCCAAGTTTTTGGCTTTTTTTCAACTTTACTCTTTTTGCCATTTAAAGTTTTATACATCTTCCTGTGGTAAACTGCACAGCCGTTGATGGAACTACGGGATAAAATTCTTGCATAACTCATAACTGTAATGGAAAAATCTAAAAAAATTAATATCATTATGTCACGCTCTTTTCACATCTTGACGGCAAATAAATTTTTTTTCTGCACAAGTTCACAAAGCAATATTTTTTTAAACATTAAGTTTACACTTTCATTGTTGAAAATAACAACAAAGATGAAAATGTTAAAAATTTAAAGATCACTTGAGCACTTTCAAGGAGGAGGAGAAAGGCGAGTTGGTTTAGATGTGAGATGCACCTGTTGTGACCAAAATTATTTGCTTTGCTGATATATCTTAAAACGTAACACGTGATTTACAACCTTGATATGTGTCAAAAAGTTTTTTATAATTATAACTATTCAGAAGTTTTTTTTTTTTTTTTGTTATTTCATATTTATAAACAACAAAATTATGACTTTTTTTTTGTTGTCTTTTTTCTTTTGACTAACAATCCGTAATCAGTAAAAAGGTGTGGTGAAAAATACTTACGCATTTTTTCTTTTATTTGTTCTAAATACTAAACTAGAGAAGCATACCGCAGTTAACGTACTACTAAAAGTGATACTGTATGATTCTGACTGTATGATTATTTTCAATAAAATGTTGTTAACTTCCCAAAAATGACACAC